GTCACGAAAGGAGGATTGGCTAATGTAATACCCCTAAAATTAAAAAGGATATAATTGGAATTTTACTATTTATTCTAAGTGTTTTATGTGATTATGTAGATATGTGTTTATGTTTAATTGATTAAATTATTTGTTTTGTTCTTTATTTGATTTAATTGTTTAGTCTTTATTTGATTTAATTATTATTTGGGTTTTTGAATTGTTTTGTTGGTTAATTATTCTACGTAATTTAATTGTGGTTTTAATTAATTGGTTAGTTGGATTTTATTTTATTTTATTTTATTAAATTAGTTTTGATTGTTTAAAGGAGTTAATTAGGTTAAATTATTAGGGTATTTAGTTTATGGATCGTGTAGTTGTCCGACTAGGGTTTAGTGGGTTTTCATCTCTCAATATAAGTAGACGTAGGTTATTATATGCCTATATATACTGTTATAAGTCTGTTTAGGGTTGAAATCACAAACCTTATTCACGAGCAGTGAGTACAGAGAGTTTTAGAGTGAAAACAGAGAGAGGTTGGGGAGACAAAACAGAGCAACTTCAGAGAGGGTTTTGGTCGTGGCTTGAAGGTTGAATCTAGGAGGAGGAAGGTTGAGCAGTAGGAGGTAGAGTTGACTGAGAACGGATGTCGTCGCAAAACTTAGGAAGACGGTGACGAGGGTTTATTCCAGGCAAGTTCTTTTCTTCCTCCTTCCCGTTGGCTCGTGTTCTGTGTACCTAGATAGTCTCTAGGGTTTGAGTAATTATTAATTAGAACTTACATGCTTACCATATGTTATATTGATGATCTTTACGTATTAAAATCAATTCTGTTATAATGCATGCAAGTCTTGTTTTCTGTTTTAAGCATGTTATATTATTAGCAATTTTAGTTTTTGTAATTGCTTTTAACCTCTGTAAATAAATCATGGTGATGATACTGGGATTAAATAGGACTCCTAAGTTCAGTAGTGAAGAGGAACAGAGGGGTTGGAATAGAATTGTTATTGCAAAATAGTTTCAGATTTGTTCCTAACGCATGTTAGTTCGGTAGTAAATTTAATCTCTGTAATTGAATCTAATGGTTGTTATCAAACCTTTGGGATGCTCCTGGGTGTTAATAAGATGCTTAAGATCTATTTTAAAAACCAACAGAGTGGTAGGAATTGATCAGAGAGGGAGCAGACGGACTGAAACGGAGCAGAACGGGGATAGAGGCTCTCAAAGGAGGTGAGAGCTGGCTCCATGGATGTGGGAGCCAGCTCCCACACTCATTAAGCCAGCTCTAAGATGTTTAGAGCGGGCTCCAGGCTCAAAAAGAGCTTGCTCTTTAAATTTAGAGCAGGCTCTTTCCAATAGTGTTTTTCTGAAAAAAAATTTACGAACTGTTTGGTTACTGTTGGAGCATGGGAACTGTTCTGTTGACTCTGGGGTTTTACAAAGGGATTAGAAGGTTGGTTTTGAGTGTTATTAAGTCCTTAAATTAAGTAAGGTTGACCTCGAAGTGAATGAAATTAACAGTGCACTAATTTAACAACTGTGTGTACGGTTAACGGCTGGAAGGAGATTTGTTGTCTAGTTTTAGTTTGACAATTTAAACTGCTATATCATAATTTCAAATTAAATTTTAAATACATGGTGAAGTCTTTTAATTAACAAATTGGACTTGGGGCATAGTGTATGGCTCCGTGTAAAAAGATAAAACAGAATACGAGTATAGAACTTAGTACGCTGTTACCGGGTGGAAAGAATTAAATTGTTTATATTAATTTAGCAATTGTTTGAACTATAACATGATTACAAAACTTATTTAAATGCATGATAGAGTAGTTGATTCATTAAAACTGATCTATGCATATTTTGGATGCTAGTTGTTGAACTGTTAAACAATACATGGTTTAACTCTTGGATTTAAATTGCTGAAACTTAAAACACTTTTCTGCAATGCTATGGATATTTGGTTTTGAACTGTAAAATACTTGCTTATTATTTATATATTGTAATTTACATGGATATGGAGGATTGTATGCACTGGTATGAGACGGTGACATACTAGGTATGGTTTAGCTCAAAACGCTAATTCCTACCTCATGGATTTTAATTGGTGAACAGCTTTACCTATTCTATCAATTATATGGATTTTATGCATTGTATGCATCGGTATGGGACAGTGGCATACTAGAGATAGACAGATTCAAAATACTCAGTCCTATCTATTTTGGAATAAGGATACGAATTATAAAAACATAATTTTCCTTATATTTAAGTTTGTGCAGCTGAATAAGTTGAACGACTTATTGGATCTCTTATATAAGTCTGTGCGGTTGAATAAGCCGAACGATGTATTAGATTTTCTATGGATGGATATGAATGGATTTTAAATATATTTTTATGATACCATGATATGAGCTTGAGTCTCAGACTCATTGGTTAGGGTGCGTATATGCAGTAGGATGCATAGCTAGCTATGTTGGTTGAGGTATACCTTGTTATGCTTAGGTAGTCATGCCCACTCAGGTGCGTATTGCATGCTACCTTCTATTCAGGTTGAGACCCTCAGCATGGTTTAGTGAGAGTCCTGTAGTGTGGATATATATTTATCTATTACAGACTATACAGATATTGTTGAGATATTTAGGGTGTATTTGAGTATCGGGTCACTGTTTGGATTGCAGTTAGAGAAGAATTTGCATGTGGGCCTGACCCACTCTTATTTTTACAGGTGTTCGTTAGTTCCAGTCTTAGAGCTGGATCGTGCTGAGCAGATACAGTCATTCACTCCACCGATGCTGTAGGACTTTGTTTTATGTTTCATGTTTTAGGCTTTGGTTTTATTTTTAGTCATTTGAGTTCAGTGGGATATTTTAGGGGTCCACTAGATGGATTCCCGAGTTGTATAATTTGGAGAACGATTTATATTCGTGGAGGATCAGTTGTAGTAGAATAGTTTATTTATCAATGGAATTATTTATTCTGAGGTTTCAATTATTGGATTATCATTTTTAGTTTTCATTTCAGCAAATTTTATTTATCTCATTTGTTTTAATTGTATTCTGTGTTTGATTATTGCTAATTGGTTTGATATCCTCGGGTAATCGGGCGTGGGCCTGGCCAACTCGTATCCGGAGATCCGGGGGTATCACAGCTAAGCAACCACAACCACGACCATAAGGCACCTCCAAGGTGTCGCATCTGGCCTGTTTAGCTCAACTAAACTCCTCTCTAGACTACACTAACACCACGGACCACTAGGTTCTTCCTAGGCGTCCGGGTTTTCGCAAACACTTTAGAAAACTTTTCCCAAAACAACTTCACTTGTTTGAAAGACATTTTTCCCCTTTTTCTATCCCAATGAATGCATGGAATGTTTCATACTTCAATTTATCAATTCCACCATAAAACTTTCACACATGCTATATAAGACAATTTCTAAACTATATAACTAAAGTTCTTATTTAACATCAACTTTGCATAACAAGCATATAAGACATGGATTCAACTTAATATAAGTATGTTTGAATACTATAAAACAACTAACAATTAGTCACATATATCCCATACCAATCATTTAAGCAATTTTTATAAGAATTTATACTAATTGAACATTCTAGACATCAATTCAAGTTATAAAACTCACAAAAGTATAAGAAATCATGCATTAGAACACCCCTACCTCAAGAATTGCAAAATCCCCAATTCCAAGCCCTAGATCCCAAACCTCCTAGAGTGCACCAAACATGAATTTGCTCCGATCAAATTGAAGCCCTCGACGCGCTCTTTAATTTGCCGTAAACGGCATTCAAAATCTCCAATTGATAAGAGAAAGATCTAAAGTTGAAGTTGTAGAAAAAGAAAAAAAAAAATGAAGAATTGAGAGGGATAGAGAGAATTGGGAGCAAGGGTGTGGTCTCATGACCACTTAAAAATGGTGGTGGGTCCCACCAATCTCTTTTCATTTTTCCTTTTTCTTTTATTCTTATTTTGCACCACATACATATATACATACACATTTAATTTACAATCAAAAAAATAAAAAAAAACACAATAAAATAAAAAAAAATTTGATGCAAATGGACCCAACTAAAATCTCCGTAAGCAACAGTTCCGGTAACGGGTCCCACACGGGTCCGTCCGGTCCAAAAAACTAAACTAAAAAAAAAAAACCCAAAATGATCACCCTCGCATTTTAAAGAGTCCTGAACTCAATGAAATGTCTCAGACAACTCTCGGATACAACCGGCATACTCCACAGTGTCCGGAATGGAAAAGGGCAAAAGACGAAAATTCCCTTGCAACAACAAAATTTTCAGAAAAATGAAAAATAACAAAAATTGGAAACATCACAAGTAATGTACATGAAGTAACATGTAAAAGATTGTAACAAGATATTTAGCAAATATAATATGAATTGTCAGTAAATATATTATACCAAATATTCGTGAAACTTCAGACTTACAAAAAGTATATTAATATATGCAAAACTTTGAGTTTGTCAATTAAATATAAATAATTTAGTATTTGCGAGACTTCGGGCTCAGCAATTTACTTTTCTATAAAGAATGGACAAAAATATTCTAATATAAATAAATAAATAAGTATTTGCGAGACTGCAGGGTCAACAATTTTAATTATAAGTAAAATTTGTACAACAACAGTTTAATATAATTACTTATTTTTCTTACCCTTTGAAGTGAGAAAGAAAAATAGAATTTTCTTCTCAGTTGACAGAGTCTCATGCTGATAACGTGTAATGAATATATATGTATATATAGAGTAATATTCAGAGAAATAATTTTTTCACACAGAGAAAGAGAGAGAGAGAGTGGAAAACTTTTATTCAAGTGTGTCCTTACAAGTAGTATATACATATGGCCTTTCACTGTAAGTAAGAATTGAGCTTTCTTCGTAAGCCAATAATGTCATCATGGATGACTTGAGATTGTGGGCCCCACAAACATATATATATAACAAGATTATATATATTAAGGGAATGTAAAAACACAATTGGGCCAATAGATTTACAGAGCCCAGAGCTCATTACAAATTAAAGCCTTAATAAGACTTGGCCCAAGTCCAAAACACAACCCAAAGGGAAACAACTATGCCATTACAATTCCAAGTTCCAACTGCTATATTAGCAGTTAGTAGCAGTCTGGTCTTCTCTGCATTTAACAGCAATGGTCAAACAGATCTACAGGTGTTTGAACATTCCGCCGTCGTCGGAGTCAATCTGGTGGCACGGTGGTGGTGGGACGAAAGGGCCAGGGAGCTCCCATTCCACCGCAATATGTCTGGCATTATTTGTATCTGTAACAGAGCAGCACATTAGCTTCTCACGGACAGAGGTGATGATTTGATTAAGCACAGCATTTTCCATCCAAATATAGTTAACAAGAGCACAAGGCATAATTTTCTGTGGAGAAGTTCGCCTTCTCAATCAATAATTGACATGCCCGTGAGATGAATTCAGTAGGTGTAAAACGCGCACAACGTGTTTGTATAAAGTTCCAAATGGGGGATACAAATGGGCATTGGAAACAAACGGTGGTTGTGTGACTCAGGGAGTGCAGAACATAGACTGCAAAAATTGGGAGTGTGCCAGGGCAACTGGTTTTCGATCATGTGTGGAGAATTGCAGTCGACAAGATGAAGTTATGTTTGGGTATGCAGTGAGAGAAGTGAGAACCAAGTGAGGTGTGTCCATGCAAGGGTAGGATATGGACATAGGGATTTGAGTCATTGACAGTGTGAGGAAGTGAGTAGATGCCTGTGGGTGAAGGTTACCATTTGATTTTGTCATGAAGGTATTAAACATTAATTTAGATAGATCATTATTTAGGCATAAATGGGGATTTTGCATTTGGTTATTTGATAAAAATTTATAGAATCTGATTATATATGTCTTATGTTTTCATCTGCGTGAAAAGGGGTAAAAAAAAAAAAAAAAAGAAGTCTTTTTGTTATATATATATATAAAATCAATTTAAAGAGTATTTGGGTATATATTTAGGATCATTTTATCAAAGCAATAAAGTTATGAATTCATGACCCCAACTGTCTAGAATTAGGAATATATATATGATTAAAATAAAGCGTTAGATACAGACTGAAATGGCATCCATATTGGAGTTCAACTACTTCTTTTAAAGTGTTATGAATTATTTTCTCCTATTTTTAATGTATTGTATTATGGCCGACACTTGTCTGATTCTCGATCAAAAACTATTTCTAAGTGCTTTGCATTATTTTCTCCTATGTAAATGTATTGTATTATGGGCGGCATTTTGAGTAGCTCTACAAAAAAAAATTATGGGGATCGTTGTCCTTTAGGATTTCCCTTTCCATCCTTGGAGACTTTGATGTTTGAGGACATGCCGGCATGGGAAGAATGGTCTTGTTCTATTTCTATTGGTGTTGAAGAATCTGGAAGTCAATTTCCTTGCCTCCGTGAGCTCAGCATACATGGTTGTCCCAAATTGACTAGGGTTTCACTTTTAAGGCTTTGCTCTCTTCAAAAATTATACTTGGAAGAGTGTGAGGTGGTGGTGCTAAAAAGTATTGTTGATGGGACTTCACTATCCAGCTGAGAAGTTGTGAATGTTATAGGGCTAGTATCAGAGCTGGTCTCCTTTCTTCCTACAACTCTAACTGATTTATGCATCGCAAATATGCCAAATCTGTTATCCATGAAGGGCCTCCAAAATCTCACCTCACTTCAAATTCTATCTATCCGCAACTGCCCTAACTTTCGATACTTGCCAGAGGAAGACCAGCCTTCCACGCTTCAAAGACTTTGGTTCGATGATCGTGCACCTCTTCAACCACTACACTTGGAGAACAAAGGTGATTACTGGCCAGGGAATCATCCTTCCTATTATTTACCGGAAAAAAAAAAGGTGATTACTGGCCAGAACCTTTAAGAAAAAGGTCTTGAAAAATGTTCAGACTATTTTTTTATGCGACGTAATGCTCATGTTCTACAGTCTCATGTTCATATTTAGGTATTTTCTTCTGCATCATGCGAACTGATGTTTTCTGTTCTTGTTATTTGGGTGACTCTTGTTTTTGTCTTGTTATCTTTTCCAGAATTACCAACCTCTACAATTATATTTCCTATGTGATTGTTGTAATGTTTATGGTATATATATGGTTTTTCTTTTTTTTTTTTTTTTTTTTTTTTTTTTTTTTTTTTTTGTGATAGAAAAAAATTAAAGGAAAAGTTAAATTAAAAGTGGTGGGACCCACCACTTATACAAATTTTGGCCAAAAGGCCATGTTGGCCTTTACATTTACTCACTCCTGTACGCTCTTTATCTCTCCCCCTTCTTGATCCATTTTTTTTTTCTTTTCAAAACAAAAATTTAATTTTTGATTTCTCCTTCATCTTTTGGTATTTTTGGGAGTTGTTTGCGGCAAAACGAAGAGCGCGTCGAGATCTACGATTTGATCGGAGCAAAAGTGGTTTTGATGCACTCTAGGGATTTCAAATTTAGGACCCATTTTGAGGATTTTTCTATAAAATTGAGGTAGGGGTTTCTAATTCACATTTTCTTAGATTTTAGTGAATTATCTTTCATTAATTGTTGTAAAGCATGCCTAAATTTTGTGGATTCTTGCAAAGGTGACTTAATTGTTATACAAGTGATGTGTGGTTATGTGTTAATTGTTATTTGAGGAGAAAGCATGCTTAAATGATGTATATAAGAAATGTGATTATGTGTTAGTTGATGTTTTGTGTATAAGCATGCCTGTGTGGAATAGAATTTGTGCCTTGTATGTTTACTATGTTAAATCAATGTTGAATGAAAGCATGAATTACGTATTTTGAAATTTATTATGGAAAGCATGTGTGAAATTCAAAAGTTGAATTGTGTTTAGAAGTATGAAGCATTCATGCATCCATTGGGAAAGAAAGAGAAAGGGAAAAGTGTTTTTTTTAAGTAAATGAAATCGTTTTGAGAAAATTGTTTTCGAAAAGTGTTTGCGAAAATCGGATGCCTAGGAGGCGCCTAGTGGTCCGTGGTGTTAGTGTAGTCTAGAGGGGACTAGAGATTGAACTAACTAGGCCGGATGCGACGCCTTGGAGGTGCCTTGTGGTCGTGGATAGTTAGCCAATCCTCCCTTCGTGATGCCTTGGAGGTGCCTTGGGTCGGATTGCACTAACGGTTTGGAAGTTGAAATGGTAATGTTTCAGAAAATGGGGAGCGACATGGACATGACATTGCACTTCATTGGCATACATGGTATAATTGTGACTTGAATGACAATTGTGGTTATATTTGACGTTGTGGTTATGAATTATATCCCCAGTATAGTATGATCCCATTATCTTGATTTTTATTCTATACGTGGATTCACGGGGTCATAAGAGGTGTGTCTTAGGCACTTCTTACTGAGCGTTTAGCTCACCCCATTATTTAACATTTTTTCAGGATACGGGAAGGAAGTGGCGGACCACGCTCCTCCACAGGTCTTGATGGGTTAGTGGACTATTTTGACATACTTTGTAGTTATGATCTCATTTAATTATTATTTATTTATTTATTTATTTATTTTTATAAATCCTGGAATAACACGTATAATATGCATTGACATAGGAAAGGACGGTAGTGTCCTTAGTTGACCTCGGGTTCGGGTATGGACCCGGTTAGCGATTCGAACCCACGGGTTCAGGTCGTTACAATTGTTTAATTGAATTTGAGAAGTGAAATTTATATCTCACATTGTTCCCATAATATTGTTCTACAAACTATCTTGCCTACTAATTATATGTAGTTTTTCCTTGTTGGGCAGGGTTACAGCATGGTTAAAACATCATTATTTTCAAAGATTTTGATGTGAAAAGGATTGAGAAAAATAATTTTATCGACTTCGAAAGACATTTTTTTTTTTTTTTTTAATATACTCTCTTACTTCATATACTCTCTTTAATTATTATTATTTTTTATCAGATAAGAATTCAATTGAATAGCTCTATTATCATTTGGTTGCTGTAGACATTAAAAATCTGCTCAATCAAACGTATCCTTAATAAATCACGTTTGGTAATCAAGGAATGTATGTTATGGAACAATTGGGAAGTGTGGAATTGTTCTTCCCTCCCTATTTAGCTATATTCACTTGAACATTATTTTTTATCAAGTATCACATTTAGCATTGACCTATCTTCAATGGGTAGGAGTTTTTCTTTAAAGGATATAAGAACACTAAAATTCATAAATCATTAAGTATTAGAAACTAATTTTGCATAAATAAAAAATAAAATTAAAAAAAAATAAAGAAAAAGAAAACTGCAGGGTGTCTTGTTTCACAGCATTTGGCGAGGATAATCTTGAACGACTAATTTGATATTAAAGTAACTTAATTATATGTAGATATATTAAGTTTGATATCTCCATGCCCCCTAACCTGCTTTGCTATGCAATTTTGATTTCATTGGTTTTGCCTTAGAAAAGCTCAATTTCAATTCTCCATGCCTTCAAAAGGTTGTGGCATCCTCACTATATTGAATCTTCAATCTGCTCTGTTTGAAGAGGATTATAATCATAATACCTTTACAACATCTAATGATGCCCTTAATACCTAATTGACTGGTGGAAGCACCATGTAATGGATCATGAAAATAAAACAAATATTTTCTAATTTTTGAGACAGCTTGTAAGATCCTGGAAATGACGCAATCAATTTTTATTTTATTTTATTTTTTATTGATAATTCTAGTGAAGTAAACCTTATTTTTTCATGATTCCTTATATCCCTCTTATCTGTCGTATTAATAATTGGCCGAAATAACGCTCAAGGATTAAATCATGCATATACATTATAATAGCTCCATTATCCATCCACCCTCAACCAAATTGAAGGTGATATATATCACTCTTGACCAAAACAAAATATATATATATATTGATGCTTTATCTTCCCAAGAAGCATATATAAATTTCACCAGTTATAATATTTTTCCAATTAAGTCAAGTCCAAAAATGTGGGTTATTGTAGGTTATAATATCACCTCAGCAGCTAAGGTGGTTGTTGCTAGGGAAGATTATAGTTGTTTTTGCTATCTGTTATAATTAGTGTTTCATTGTTGTTATGTGTTATTGTTTATTGGTTTTTAGTTATAGTGTTGACTAAGAGAATTGCCTACTTGTTATTGATTTGCAATGGGGCTTGTACTTCTCAGACAACAAAATCCAAGCGAGACCTTCTCTTTATGAGCCTTTGCGGTTCCATTTCCATGTTAAATATCTTCCTTGCAAATCTGTAATGTTGTAAATATGGTGCGCATGTCATTGAGATGATGGAGTTCTATGATTTATTCATGTCCAATAAGGGTGACTGCGTACACTTTATGAACGTTTGAAGGAGGAATTATGGAGTTAAATTTGTTGCTTGTGAATTTGGGAGTTATTTTTGTTGTTTGTGAATTTGGGAGTTGTATGTGTTGCTTGTGAATTTGGGAATTGTATTCTTCATCGGAATTGCATATGATACGGACTTGATTCATGTGGTCTAATTTGCCCAAGAAGCTGCTGGAGCCATTGCTAGTGACGATTTTGCCTAGATTTTGGAATTTTATTTGAAAGAAAAAACAGAGGGGGCCAAGGTCCAAAAGGGCGGGCAAAAGAGACATAAACAGGCTTAATCTTGTTAGCAATTAATTTGGCAATGCATTTATAAATACAATTGTAACAAGAGATAGCTCTGTAATCACTCGTACACGAGGAATTAGGAAAAAAATAGGTTATCTGTAATCACTCGAATTTCGTTAGCATCATGAATTATGTATGTCTATATTCTCATCAGACAAGCTTAAAATTTTCCTCCTATTTATGTTGTGATTAAATCCTCTGAAATAAAGGTTGTGTTAATATCACCAGCTTGAAGCTAATGGATCCTATCTTTTTGTTTGGAGAACTGCTCTCTATGAAGACTCAAACAAGAGTAAGTTTTTAATGAGGGAGTCGCTATAGAATTACTTTTAGAAAACTACTATACATGGATCCTATTTTTTTTGTTTGGAAAACGGCTCTCTAGGCTTTTTATTTGGAATTTTAATCAACTCGAGGATAAGGAAAAACATAGAAGTCATGAAAGTTGAGGTTTTTAATTAGTTTTCCATCACGGCATGCTCCATGGATTATGCTTCGCGCAGTTGGAAATAAAAAATTTAGATGGAATAGAGACGAGAATGGATGGATCAAACATTTCTAGAGAAGAGGTTATCTCCTTCTAATTTTTTTATTCGATTTAATGGAAGAGGAGAGAATAAGCTCACAGTTTATTGTGTTTGTTGGAAGAGAAAGAAAGAAAGAGTTTTAAATTGTTTTTACCATGGGGTGCCACTTGACGGGAGATAATTAGACTCATCTAAATTTGTTTGGAGGAGAAAACAATAAAGTGGCCTTACCAACTTTCTCCTACTTTCTGGTATTATGGCCGATACTTTCCAATGTCTCTGGGACTTTTGAAGCTACCACTCACCCCTCTTGTTCTTGTGCTGGGTTTTGAATTATTCTTCCATTGTGAATAAAAAAGAAGAAAAGGAAGACCTAAAATTCATTATGTATCAAGAGATGGTTGTGCATAAAAATAATAATGATAAGAATGAAGATAAATCAAACTGAACATTCTCCTGTTTCACAGCATTTATGAGGATAATCTTGAAGCTATATTTTAATGACTGGTCTGCTATTAAATTAACCTAATTATATGTAGATATATTGTACGAAGCATAGATGCGATTATTGTATCTTAAATTTGATATCTCCATGGCCTCTAACCTGCTTCGCCATGCAACTTTGATTTCGGTAGTGACATCCTCACTGTATTGAAACTTTTTTTTCCTAGTTGATACTCATTTCCCTTTAAAATCACCAAAGCTCAAGTACTGAGTCACACATATCAATTAACATATGCCTCCATGGTCTATCCATCCTGAACCAAATTGAAGGTAGATATATAGCATTGTTGACACCATTTTGCAATGAGATAAAGTCTTGTTGATTTCTTTTTATTTTTATTTTTTATTTTCACACACCCACGTGCCCCTATGAGGACTTGAACTCTTGACCTTTCCCTTTGGAAGGCGAGAAAGTACCACTATACTATATCCTTTGGTGGTAGATATAATGTTTTTATTATTAAGCTAGTTCCGAAAAGGTAAGATTATTAGTTATAATCTCACCCAGCCGGTAAGATGGCTGTCGCTAGGTTAAGATCATAATTGTTTTTGCTATCTGTTATCATTAGTATTTTATTATTGTTGTGACTGTTTATTGGTTTGCAGTTATAGTGCTGACTAAGAGAATTGTCTACTTGTTATAGATTTGCAATGGGGCTTGCACTTCTCAGACAACAAAATCGAAGAGTAACCCTTCTCTTTATCAACCTTGGCAGTTATGTTTCCATGGTGAACAACTTCCTGCAATTCTGTAATGTTGTAAATATGTTGTGTGTGTCACGGAGATGGTGGAGTTCTATGATTTACTTGTGTCTTTGAAGGAGGAATTATGTTGTTGTACTCGTTGCTTGTGAATTTCTGAGTTGTTTGTTTTATAGGAGTTGTATTTGTTGCTTGTGAATTCGGGAGTTGTATGTGTTGCTTGTGAATTTGAGAGTTGTATGCTTTATGGGAGTTGCAATATGTGTTATTGACTTGATTGATGATGTGGTCTAATTTACTCTTAGTTTTAAAAGCTTATTTGTGTAGGGTCATGTTGACCAATAATGCATGAGCATGACAGGTCTTTCACTCTGTATTAGGAACATTTACATTGTTCAGTTTCACAGTACTAAAATTGGTGGTCATCGAGAAATAAATAACCTGGGGATTATTTATTACTGCATTATCTTATACATAATACATAAGGCATATAACAGTTAGATGTCACAATTTTGAGTTGTTGAAGATGATGGTTGGGTTGTAGGAATGTTGATAGGTCGATCCAACTGGTTTGATTAGATTCAGTTTTTTCATCACCTTAAAAAAACTGCATCAGATTAGTCTTGGAAAGTTTCTATTAAGAAAATGTTTGATTATGTTGTCTTTTTTGGTGCTAGAATTAATGTGTTCATTACTGTACTGATTCCTATGTCTGCAGTTATCTCTTTGATTTATTATTATGACTTATTTTATATATATATATATATATATATATATATATACACACATCAAGAAGCAACTTAAAGTTCAACATGCAATCTAGTGATATTGGAACCTTTCAAAGTAGAAATTGGAGTGCTTAAGTTCTCGTAAAAATAAAACGAATGTAAGAATTTCTTGTGAAATTAAAATTAAAAAGATAAATTACTTAACTTTTCTTGTATTTCTAAAAATTGAGGCACGTTGGAATAGTTTTTTGTGAAATTAATTCTTATTAAACTTCAAAATTACGTTTGTTGCAAACTTAGAATTAACATCGGTTAACATTTTAAAATACGTAAATAGCGTGGAAGTTTAATGATGAAATTGTTGTGTTAGAATGAAGTCCTGAAAATGTCATAAACTCATTATTGAAGTAATCACTTTGGACTTTTCAAAGATAACTATTCAAATACTTGGTGGTCAAAATGATTGAAGCCTCCTTGGCGTCTCTCATCTGCTCACTCGACGCACTCTTCTCCAAAGACTTTTCAAAATCAAACCTCCCATCGACCCTCTTGTTCTTGCATTTTTGGTTCAATTTGAAGGACCAAACATTCGTATCGCTCAAAGCCCTCACAAACCCATATCTCTCTCCTTTGATTGCTTTCATTTCCATCAACAATGGAGGATGTACCTGGGATCTCACAAACCCTTCTCGGGCCGATCATTCAAGGGCTGCTTGAGAAATTGGTCTCTCGCGAGGTGTTCAACTATGCACGTCGAGAGGGAATCGATACTCAGTTGAAGAATTTGGAGCAAAGATTGCCCGAAATTGGTGCTGTTCTGGGTGATGCAGAGATGAACCAACTGACAAATGATGGAGTCAAGAAGTGGGTTGATGAACTCAGTGATTTGGCCTACGATTTGGATGATTTGCTGGACGATTTCGCTACCCAAGAAGCTCTGCTGATGACAGAATCAGAAGCTAGCACTGGTAATAAGGTACGAAACCTCATCCCAACTACTAGTGCTGTACTTAAGATGGAGGAAATTAATGTTAGATTACAAGATATTGAAACCCAAATGAATTGCTTGGATTTGAAACCGATTGATGTCGAAATTGAGTCGACCATTGTGACAGAACGATTGCAAACTAGTTGTTCTTTGGTAGACAATTGTCGTGTTTATGGCAGAGAAAATGAT